ACGCTTCGTATAGTGTCATTCGGGACATGGTCTAGCATCGTCACTCCTGTGGTCCATCTCAGCATTCGTGTTTCCATTACACTGATCATTCTTTCTTCGTCACGTGTACATGGCCAGCATTCGCTTCCGTATAGGGCCGTCGGTCGAACTGTCGTGCGATATATCAGGGACTTCAGCTTTGTTGGCATCCGCTTATCACATAGGACTCCTGTGAGACTTCTCCACTTCATCCATGCTGCGTTCACTCTACTGCTTATCTCATCGCGGAGGTTGCCATCTGCGGAGATACGGCTTCCCAGGTACTTGAAAGAGGTGGTCTTCTTGAGTTGCGTGTCTCCGATCTTGATTGTCCCGGGTGTCTGTGTTCCCAGTTCCATATACTCCGTTTTCGTCATGTTCAGCTTCAGTCCATGCATCTCAAGCTGATCCTTCCACTTCTGCACTTCCATCTGGAGCTCTCTTCTGCTTCTTGCCAGTAGGAGAACATCGTCTGCGTACATGAGCGTCCATGGTGGTTGTCGTATGAAGCCGTCGACCACTGCATCTATGACTGTGTTGAACAGGAGCGGTGAGAGTACAGAGCCTTGGTGTACGCCGGCTCGTATCTGGAATTCTTTCGCCGGTCCCGCTGCTGTCTGTACGTGGCTGGTGGCATTCTTGTAGATCATCTTCGTCCATTGCACGTACTCTTCTGGCACCTTGTGCTTTCGTAGTGCCCACCATATGATCTCGTGTGGTACCTTGTCGAATGCCTTCTCCAGGTCGAGGAACGCCACATGTAGTTCACATTGCTTCTCCCTGCTTCTTTCTGTCATTATTCTGGCGGTATGGATGGCATCTGTTGTGCTACAGCCCTTCATGAATCCACACTGATTGGGAGTTAGTTCTATGATGCTTCGGAGTCTCGTTTCTAGTATTCGTTCGAAGATCTTCAGCGTGTGACTCGTTAGACGTATGGGACGATATGTGGAACAATCGGCTATATCTCCTTTCTTCTTCCATACTGGAATCGTTGTGCTTTTGGACCAATCGCGAGGCATCTTCTTGGATTCGATTATCCGATTGAGAAGCTGTGTTAGCCAAGTGATTCCAGCTTGCCCGCACCTCTTCCAGAATTCACTGGGAATGTCGTCTGGGCCGGTTGCTTTGCCGTTCTTTGTTTTCGCTATGGCTGCGCAAACTTCTGTGATGTTTTCTACCGGTCCTTGTACCGTCTCAGCTACTATGGTAGATGACATTTGGTAGCTTGTAGATGCTATTCTCTCGAAGTGTGCTCTCCATCGTTCGCTTATCTTCTCTGGACTTCTTAGAACTCTTCCGTACTCGTCTTTGATGTTGTAGAAGTGGCTTGTATCTTCTGTGGCTTTTGCTCTTCTCCTTGTGATTCGGTAGATATCACGTTCGCCTTCTCGAGTGTACAGCTTCTTGTAGAAGTCTGCTATGTACACTTCCTTCGCTTCTCTTACGCTCTTCTTTGCTGCACGTTTTGCGTCTACATATTTCTGACGATCGTCTTCTAATCTTGTCTTCTGCCACAGTTGGTATGGGAGCTTCTTACTCTTGATCACGGCTTGAACATCCTCATTCCACCACCAAGTTTCTTTCTCAAGTCTTGCCTTTCCTGGTTTTGGAAATCCCAGCAGGTTTCCTGCCATCTGATGAACATTCTTCTTCAGATTCGTCCAGGAACGCTCCGGTTCGTCTTCTAGGAGTGGTAGAGCTGATTCCATAGCAGCTTTGGATCGAGCGTCGTCTTTGAGCTTCCACCACTTGATGCGTATTCTGTCCTCCGTCAATGCCTTCCTTCGATTCTTGACTGGGATATTCAGATCTAGAATCAGTGGTCGATGTTGTGGTACACATTCTTCGCTAGGGATCACTTTGCAGTTCTTCACGTACCTGAGCTCCTTTATTCGTACCGCCCAGAAGTCTATTTGCGATTTTCGATTTCCGCTGGCATACGTTACTAGGTGATCGCTCTTCTTGATGAAGTAGGTGTTTGCCAATGCCAATTCATGAGCGGAAGCGAACTCCAGAATTCGATTGCCTTCTTCGTTGCGGATCCCATACCCGTGATTTCCGTGACTTCTACTCGCACCACTTCGCTGTTCACCGACATGGCCGTTAAGATCTGCTCCAATCAGTAGCGTTTCTTCTGAAGGTACACATCTGATGTAGTCATCTAGTTCTTGCCAGAAGCCGTCTTTCTCTTCTACCGTGCAACCTGCTTGGGGTGCGTATGCGGTGACTACTCGGAGAACTCGCTCACCCACATCTAATGTGATGCCCATGAGCCGGTCACTGAATCGATCTACACTTGTTATACTATCTCTTAACCGTTCGGAGATGACTATTCCGACGCCGTTTCTTTTGATGATATAAGGTGGAATTTCTCCAGCCAAGATATTAATTTATTCCTAATTATTTTTTCCATGATTTTGATTGCTATACAATTATGACTAATCGGTCGAAAATTAGAGGTATATTCGGGTTTTGAAGTTTTTGGAATGGCAGTGACTATAGCCTCTTTCCACAATGCGGGAATCTCAGAATAATACATAGAAACATTGAATAAATCAGCAAGAGGTCTAGAAAGATTATCCGCGCATTTCTTATATAAAATCTGAGGAATGCCATCAATTGGTTCCATGCAAGAAGGCTTCAAAGGGGCCGGGCATACTTTACGCGATTTCAGTCGCGACGCGATTTGGCAATATTCCAACTGTCCGTAACTCATTGTAAGCACAATTTGAATGTACAGAAGATAGCGTATTTTATCAACCCACTTAAGTCATACACACAATGCATGTGCAGTTTGCTAGTGTTGCATCTGAAGAGTTCTGGCGAATTGCCAAATCGCGTCGCGACTGAAATCGCGTGAAGTATGCCCGGCCCTAAAGACAAAATGATCCGATGAACATCGGAAGGATGAAAATAGACAGTACTAAGGCTATTCTGACCAGAATGTTCATCTACTGAGAAACTTCTCGAAGGTGAATTTTTCTCAAATACACTGGCGAAATATGTACCCAATGCATTGGCTTTTGCAGTATCATTACAAAAGCTTGAACCTGATTGGTCTTTGAGAAAGTGAATATCATTTCTTTCATGAAACTTTTGATGGATGTATTTGAATACATTCTTCATAGATGCTTTTGATGCGAGACGACGTTCATAATTATCTAAAAATTTCTTGAGATGAAATTCGATATCGGAGCAGACCTTCTTGTAAGTGGGGTTTGTAAGAGGTGTTTCCAACGTATGGAATAAACGATATTTTTGCTCCATCAGAGAATTGATGTGATTCGGATAATGAAAGTCACTTATCACTTTCATTTTCATGGATCCAAAAAGGGACATGCCTTTGTAAATAATGTAACAGAACCTGAGGTACAAATCATCTGTTGACCAATAGTTTTCGTAAGTTGAAATCCAGTCAGTATTCGATAAGTAATTATTGAGTCCATTATAATCAAAATTCGGAAAATCAAGAAGAGGGCAGGAGGGATCTGACAAAGCTTTATAATTGTAAAATGCTATTGATAATGATGATATCATGGTCAGACGATGCAAAGGGTGGATGAATCTCGATATTACTGATATCATCAGATGGTGACAGAATCAGGTCAAGAATATTATTTGCATGAGTTGCTTGTTGAGCTTTCTGTTTAAGTCCTGCGTTACGAAAAAGGTCAAGAAATGGTTTGGATTCAGGCTTGAGAGCACTTTGGGTAATCCAATCAATGTGCAGATTAAAACCACAACCTACAACTGTGCTTTTTGCAGCAGATCAAGCCAGTCAAAACATCTATTACTTGTCCATTATCATCTCGAGTAGATTTTGGTGGACGGTAGACAACGATGAACCTGACAGGATTTGATCTTGATCTTGATAAAATAAGCATTTCGAGCGAAAGTAAGTCGCATTTTGCTGTTGAGAGTCTGTCTACGTGTTTTACAAAAATGTTATCTTTAACAAGACAGCAGACACCACCCCCCTTTTGGGCTTGCCTGTCATTGCGGTATATAGAGTATGGCAAGTTTCCAATCAATTCGGAATCGACTATTTTCGATTTCAACCAGGTTTCAGTCAAAAAGACAAGATCAGGTTTATCATGGGTCAAAAGAAATTGTAGGTGGTGTATTTTATTAGTTATACTTCGAGCATTGAACAGGAAACATTTGAGCGAGGACGGACAACCGTGCATGTTCAGTGGTTTCCCGAACGTCTGTTGAGAAGCTCTGAGATATGCTTGAGTTGGCCGCGATATGCGACCCACTCTCTTTCAGATTTCCCAGCATTACGCTCTCTCGCTTGTTGCCTAAGTTCGTATTCGTAATATTGGTTGTATTGGTGAGTTTTTTATGGCGTTTTCACTATTTTGTTGTCTTTTTGGATAGAATGAGGTCAGTGAAGGGTTTGACTACGTTGAAACTTGCTGAATGTTTTCAACTTCTTGGAACTTGAGCTGGCCTCTTTCTGATATTGCTCGGAATGATTTTCTTTACTTTCTCTATCCACTCCAATGATTAAGTGAGTGAGCATGATGCAAATTTCACTTGTCTCTCATAGGAAGCGACCAGTAGCCAGCTTTTGAGTATGTTGAAGTTTCCTGAAATATTTTAGCTTTCTGAAGATAAAGCCGGCCTTTTTTGTCTAAGGGTATGTTTCATGAAACTCCAATTGATAATGCAACCGTTCTTTGTTCTTTGAAAACCTGATAGCACTCTTTCATAATCTTTATCTGTGTATGTTGCAAAAATAATGAGCACATATGCGATAATTATCTAAAAGGAAAATGTGTTGGTTAATTGTTATGCTACTGTGCAAGATTCGAAGTAAGGAGTAAGCGATCATAGTAAGCCACAGTTATGTGAATTTCATAATGACAGGGAGGTATACATCATGAGACAAAGATATCTGTGGAACTTCTTGCTTTGGATTTCCTCACTGTTCGCCTTGGCCTTTCTGTATTTTCCGGTACTGGGAACGCTGCAAGTTATTGACTAGAGGTACGAAGATGACTATCTACTTGAACTTGCCTTGCCGTGAATAGTTCTGCTTTAGTGAGCAACGGTTTTCCACCTAGCTTGGTTAGTTCGGGCCTCACTGCGAGATTCGGCTCTGACACTGATCCTCGCACCCTTATCCTCGAAGCTTGGTCTATCAGCTCATAGATCTCTTTGAGCGAATCGAGGGACTCTGCTGTGTCCGTGTTCACGAGCACATTGACATGAGAGTAGACTACAGCATACCTCTACACTTTTTGACTTGAAACACTATAATATGTAAACGCGGAACTCACACTTTCAATATCATTCCTCATCTGACTTCTCTCCTGTTTTCTTTCCTGAGCTGTCGTCACGCGCGAGGTGGATGGTTCCAGTGTGGGAGGTAAGGCTTCCTCGACTTCAAGGCGTCTCCCTTCAACTCCTTCTCCGGCAACAGGCTCGGCAGAGCTGATTCGGGTTGCAATCTCACCACCGTAGAGCTTCACCGCGTGTCTGTGGAGACAGCTGATTCCAGATCTGTTGTCCAGGCATAAGCAGTTCCAAGAATAGGGACAGATGTTGCATAGTGGGCAGTGGACATTGTGGCCCATTGAGATATCGCAACGACATTCGCCTTGCGTAACGGTATATAGGTCCGTGGGTTGTTTACCCTCGACTTGCCACTCCATTTCTCCGATCCTGCGAATCCGTTGAGGTCTTCTCTCATAATACAGCATGGCCTTACGATGACATTTGGTAGTTTCTTGTACACGATATGACGATGTTGCGGCACGTCGTCGATCCTTGAATACGTCATTCATGTCCATGTGCTTCCATGGTCAGCTTACCCTTATTTCGTTTGTGTCCGCTAAATCTTCGACTGCTTTAATTAGTAAATCCACCAGGAAATCGGCCCTTATATTGGAATTTCTGTGGAGGAAGTCCTTCTTTAGCCTGAGGTGCCACCGCTCACTGATCATTTTAGTGTCCATCACAACATGTTGGTTGGCGAACGAAGCCCAAGTTGCGGTCCTTCCTACAGCCTCAAGTTTGAATAAGATAATATTGGCTACAATGTCACCTAGATAATTCTCCCTGAGATAAGTCGCCATGGCGGTTTGTCCCTCCACATCCAGAAAAGCAAGAATCTCCGCAAATTTCCGCTCGAACGTCTCAAGATCGGCAATCAAAAGAAGTCTACTTAGATCCTTGTTGATGAACCCCTCAAGCGTGCCTAGAAATTTACTGTAGCATCTATGACACACTGCAAAAAAGGGTGTAGATACCTCCACAAGCCGTATTGTGGCTTTTCTGAAAGTCTGATCAAGGTGCCACCTGCAGTAGTGAAGTTTTGCTTGAGATGTTGGAAATGTTTCGCGGCATCCGTTATAAAAGCATGGGGCTTCATCCGTCACAATTTGATGTGGATTGAAATCTGGTACAAGCTTCTGTATCTCCGCGAAAAGCATGTGAACATCATATGCTGCCATGGTGCCACTCAACAAAAAAGCTGAAAATAAATGCTGACTGAAAGTTCTGCCCTAAAATTTTATACCTGCAGGTAGACCACGATCCCTCTGGTCTGCCACAGACACTGTAGCGAATTTCAGGTTATACTTTGTGACATTGTGAGTATCATCAACTGCTATACCTCGACCGGAGTACATTCTCAACCATTCCACCTGGGTAGGGGTGATGATAACTAAAGAAATTGCATCAGTTTTGAATATGTGAGCTTTGTTTTACGCACTCATCCGAAACCCTCTTCCACTAGGGTCGTCACCCACTTCCAAAAGGCGTATCCCGTCTTTAGGATTTGCTTCGGTTTCACGCATCATAAGTGAGTTCATATCGCTTTTGTGGCGATATCCAGGGCGTAACCTCATTTTGTACGTCAAGTTCCAAAGGTCATGTCTGTCTACAAACCAAAGCCTCGAGTTTTTGGCTGAGTAGTCCTTCTTCAGCCGTCGTAATATGTAGTCCATAGAATGTTCTGAACAGCTCAAACACTTTCTTCCTACAGTTATTCTGAAATACCTTCCAGTAAAGTCTTCAGAAAGTGCTCCTGTGCACTACTCAGGCGAAGCAGCGCTGGCTCTACTTCGTGGCCCACATGACCGAAGCACCCAGTCGCAATGGTTTTCCCATTTTCATCAACTTTAACGTTTATAAAACAACTGCAGCTTACTACGTCTTTTTTGCTAGATGTTGCTCTGGTGGTAGTTGTTTTGATGTATGTCCCTGCTCGATTACATCTTAAAAGGAATCTTGCCATACTGCAATAAACTTGTTATATTCACAACGTATACCTCAACCTATAAGAGCTGCCGTCAGTAGACCTTTTAAAGAAACTAGTTTTTGTGTTTTTACATTGTTCATTCAACCATTCCTGAATCACACGAATTAATAAAGAAGCTGGTTAAATTCAAGGAACCCCAAGAGTTCAGTCAACAAAACACTTTGCTTTGGAGGTTGATGGACACGCTGATCACGATTACGGTATTTATTTTGCACTTATGGCCAATTTCGTGAGATAAGGCATAGGATATCGAAACTTGAATTTCATGACACCCAGTTGTGATATCACAAAAAAGTTTTGCCGTAAAAGACTATCTTTCCAATAACATCCAATAAAATGGACCTTGTGTGCAAAGTTTCCACGAAATTTAAGATTTTGCATTTTTGGGTTGTCTTGAGTGGCATGGCACCGGTTTCTAAAGAGGCGACAGCTCAAAAGATACCTGGAATTCGCACTTGTGTCAAATGTGAGCTGGAAGACGGTATAGTCCTGCGGCTTCCCATTAGCGCCATCCTCACTGTGCTCGTCGTAGCAATGCTGCGCCAGAAGTTCATGGTCAGGAAAGCCTTCGTCACATACTGGACAGTACAGTTTGGGAGCAGGAGTTGGACGTGAGGAGATTGAACACTCTCTAATCATTTCTTTAGCATTGGCGATTTGTTCAGTCGAATATTTGTGAGAGACTCTTAGGTGGCTGTAGACATTCTTCCTCATTAGGACTTTGGAGCAAACAGGGCAACTCCATAACTCTCTTTGAGCTGACGACATACCAGTAGAGCGATTTTGATGGAATGTATATTGCGATGAATAGCTGTGGATCTACGATCTTATTACTACGAAAGACTAAAGTGCTCCTTTCTTCTTGAGACCCATAAGACAATCTTTCGCAATAGAATGTTTATTTGGATCAAAAACCACTATAAAGGATGTGTCGCTGGAATCGCGACCGCTTAGCCTAAGATGAAGCAACGCAGGCAGATCTGGCTTTGCTCGAGCAAAGCCAGAACTCAACCACTTCTGTTTTAAGTCTTGATGTACTTGATAATCTGTCCTAAACAGTCTTGCATCTGTCTTGCATCAGTGTTGCAAAAAGTCAGCATAATTCAGTTCAAGAAAAGGGACAACACACAGTGCGTTGGCTGGAGTGTACATTGAAGCCAGATACTAGAGAAATTCCAGCTATTATGGAGAAGACTCGAATGGAAGAAAGAAACAGTGTGAAGAGATCAAAGATGGCCAACTCATAGTCTAATTGGTTGAAAATTTGTTCCAACACAAATAAACCACAAACTGGCATATCTTTGAGAGTAGTTTGTGAAATGTGCATGTGAGAGTAGAATGGTAAAGGAATGATAAAAGAAACCAAGAATGTGATAGTGTAAAAAATCTCAAAAGAAAAAAATTTGCAAAAAAGTTAGCGAAAATCCATCAAGAAAACTAAACTCACGTTTTCACTTGGAAAGGCATACGAACTATGATTGTTAGTTGATAATAGCGACTAGTGCGAAGAATATGGCACAGCTGAAAAAAAATCACAGTACAAATGAAACTAGTAAAGAGTGATTGAGAAAAATAAGATGCTGCATGAAAGGGTGTGTTAAGCACACTTAGTTTATAGACACTAAACTCCGAGAATATTTGCTTCGCAAAGTGAAAACAATATGGTCGCTCACTCCAGTAATCATTGGAGTGGATAGAGAAAGTAAAGAAAATCATTCCGAGCAATATCAGAAAGAGGCCAGCTCAAGTTCCAAGAAGTTGAAAACATTCAGCAAGTTTCAACGTAGTCAAAACCTTCACTGACCTCATTCTATCCAAAAAGACAACAAAATAGTGAAAACGCCATTAAAAAAAACTCACCAATACAACCAATATTGGTAGCATGTTGAAGTAGCTCCAGAAAAATACAGAAATTCCTATCGCCTTTTATGTCCATAACGGGCGCGAAATCCATATATCAGGCCGCCAGTCGATAAAAGGTGTGATACAGGCCATCGACGTACAGTATTTGGCCAAACTTACATTGGCCGAAAAATAATGTGCTCCAAACAAGATTCGCACTAGAGCACCAATCTTGTTCGGAGCACCATATTTCTGGCTTATTTTTTGCCAACTATTCTATTAAGATAAAAATGACAATTTCTTTTTTCATTTTCATACTAGAAAAGTAATGTTTTCTCCAAAAGTTTTAAAACTGCTTTTTGTTTTGGTTTCTTATGTACCTGGGGTTATTTTTCATGCTGATTTCGAATACAGTTTGCATTTTGCGAGATCGTCGTTACTCTACTAGAGTAATCTTGAGGGAACACTGTTCTCGCAACGAAAGGAAAAAATTTGAAGTTGTTATTCAATTCGAAATTTACAGAAGAGGTTATTGATAGAGAGTAAGAAGTGAGAGGGTAATTGATCATGTCGCTGGAGATATGTTCCTTAGGCCCCGGACGGTACAGATGTGACACGGAGCTTTTGTGGGCATCTTCTCAGAAAACCAGACCGCAAGAAAAAATTTTCCTCTCAAGGATAACGATAACGTAAACTACCGAGCGAACAACAAGAGAGCAAAACCACAGAAGAACATAAAAAATAAGTAGAGAACAAAAATGAAATAAAAAGCTAATCAAAGGGCAACTAAAAGAGGCAAAGTCGACGAATACTTACTGAGTATAGTGGAAATGACAAAGTATTGGAAGCAGTATGCGAAGTAGGTATCATTTTGAAATCAACAAGTTGGCTAACTCCTTCCGAACAAACCGAAATGCATATCATATTCGGAATTACCATGACAAATAAGCCCAGGCAGATAAGAAATCAAAACGTAAGGCGATTTCAAGACTTCAAAAAAAACATCACTTTTCTAGTACTAAATAAGATAAAAATAGTGGAAATGAAAAAAGAAACTGTAATTTTTATCTTAATAGAATAGCTGGCAAAAAATAAGCCAGAAATATGGTGCTCCGAACAAGACTGGTGCTCTAGTGTGACTCTTGTTTGGAGCACATTATTTTTCGGCCAATGTAAGTTTGGCCAAATACTGTACACCACAGGGACGCCATCCGGGTCATCCGCCGCCGATGGCAAGGTTTGCGCGCCCCACAGTCACTGTTGGCGGCCGCGCGCGGACCGCTCGCGCAGCCAGCCCAGTAGGAATAGATGGCGCCCGTTCAACGCCACGTCGCGCCAAATGATGCGCTCGCAACGTGGCGCGAGCCCGAGGCGAGGCGGCGTCTCATCAAGCCACATAATCCACGTCATGTCGAGGGAAGACATATGGGATAATATCGAGGGTACAAGGAGTTGTGAACTTCATTCTAGTAAAGGCGTATAAAAAATATGTAGGTTGTTGATTCGGCGTGAGTTACTTTGACTAGTAGTCAGGGAAGCTCTATATGTTTAGCAAAGTCCTCGTTTATTAATGAGATTGTTGCTGTGGTATAACTGATTCCCGCCATCTTTACATGAGTGCCAAGGCTGGTGGGATTTGATCCCTTTTCCATGGAAAGAAAACTTGTAGTCTGGATGTTTTGCCTCTATGTTGCAAAGTTGTAATTGGCTTCGTGACTTACGTAAGCAGTTGCAGATGTTGTTCTAGCACTTTTTTTGAATTTGTGTCGCTGATAGCTCGTACTGACAGGTGAGTAAGGAAACTGGTGAATCAGCGCAATATGGTCAGTTGCAGTAGAAGCCTCTCTCCACTAGTTCATTGCTCGTCACAGATGAAAGGAGAGATAAAAGTCTTAGAGATGAAAGTGTTCACAAAGTATGACGTGATGCGATTTGTGCTAACAACTCATTAAGTAAGCACAACAATTACAAAGTTTCGGTCCAAAAGAAATGTGACATCTTTGCAGAGAAAAAACGTATGCTCAAGAGATTGATTGACCATCAGGTGTATGATTTGGTGCTGACGAGCGTTTCTGCAGCATTTTCATACAAAATATTCTATTAGCATTGACAATGACCGCGTGGTACCCGCTCATAAGCAACACAGGGTCTGAAATGCAAATTCTATTGCTTTATAAAAGTGCCATTCGAATGGAAGTCTAATATGTATGATGAGAACACCAGATATCCAGCGGTTCTGGCTTGCGTGTTACTGCTGCTGAAAGGATCTCTGACGGTCGTTGCGTGCCAGCGGCGTTCGATACGCGTCTGAGCGGAACACGCAAACGCCGCTGGTAGGGCAGCCGCACGCCGCTCATACGCTGTGGAACTCCGCTGGCAGGAGAATGGTACGCCGCTGATACGTCAAAAGGATATGATTTTGTTAAAGGACCGCATTTCCCGATTTTCGGTAACTGTTCTGACTGCAACATTTGCCGGTTTGGAAATTGCTATATCGACAAATTTTAGAGCCGAAATAAGCGTAAAAATTCGTATTATTTCGACCGACTTCATTGAATTGAAATCAGGGACGATGACCCCCACAACGCTCAGTTAAGATGCTATCAGGTCAACACGATAAGAACAACAACTCATTCTTCTTCCTTATCAAGTACCAAGAAGCGTTGACCGGCTAGGTAAAAACTGAGACAGCTTAACCACTGCGTCGTATCCCACGCGGGTACTGCTTGCGCTTACAGCGTGGGT